AAAGCATTTTTAAAGAAAGCACTGGGGACTATCGAACGTAATGTGTTCGAGATCCGTGCGAGATGTCGTGCGAGCGCTGGACTTAATATATTCAGATTTTTATAGCCGGTGGCGTATCGGAGATACCGTCTGTATACCCACCCCCCTCCTCTCATTTTTTTTTTTAACTACCAATAGTCTTTCTCTTTCTTCCTCATTTAACTTCTTTAACCTCAGTTTTCTCAGCGAATGTGCATGTAGTTTACACTGAAAGCTCGAGACCAATGCGACTGGGGTGTGTTGTGCCTAATGAATAAACAAAAACTTGATTGTGCTGTGAGTTTACACGTTAAAGCGTGACCTTAACGCCAATTTATCTACCGACCCCCTTTTTTTCATATCTACCATTCCATTTTTCTTTTTTTAGTCGTTCAACAATTAGCATTTGCTTACGGCTTCATGACGCAATGATTTATCTTTTTATTTTTCATTGAAATATCGAATGTTCATTTTTAAGAATGGGTGAAGGGACTTAAATATAAATTAAAAATCAATTACCAGGATTTGAGGGCAGAGGAATTATTGCAGAGAAATGTTTCAGCAATTATGAAATTGTTTATGTACTTTAATATTCTTTGAAAAATTCTGTTCTGACGAAAATGTTAAAAAAAATTGTCAAAGCATTTAAATCCTCTCAAAAAACCTCGAAAAAACGATAAAAAATAAACGATCAATTAAAATGTAGATAAATTTCACCTTCTTGCAATCAGCTGTTAAATGCGTACATTCGTAGTCCTTAATACTAATTACAGGAAACAAGTTAAACGTCGAGTGTCGCATTTTAATTAAATAATAATAATTTTTCCCCCGTTACCCATAAAGATTGAAGAAATAGCAAATGTATAAAAGCCGTTTGGAATTTATTTTCCCAGTAATTTTCAACGCGACGAAAACCACATCGTGGCAGAAAGATTTCGATTTAATTATCGTTTAACTTCTTGACCAAGGAGATCACAAGAATGTAGAGTACGCCGGTTTGTTGGGTCTTTATGTAGCTACCGTGGGTTTGTTACACATGTGGTCTTGTACATACGGGTGTAATTCGCGTGTACGAGTGATAGGCTACAATGAAAAAAGGGTGGATGGGGGGGAGGGGGGGGAGGGAATTGGAGGAGAGGAAGAGGACACGTGTTCGAAAGAGTAACATCGGTAAAAACACGTGGAACGCGAGAAATGCTGTGCAAACGCGCCCTGCCACCGCCGACCATTTGATTTATAATAATCGCTCAATCCTCATTACTGGAATATTTCATTGTGGTTGTAGCAGGGGGGGAGGGGGGGAGGGTGGTAAGGGAAAGGGGTGGGTAAGACGATTTTGTTCACAACGGGCAAGTTTAAAGAATCCCCAGGAAACATACTATTTTTCAAGGAAAATACTCGTTGCTCGTTAATAAGTAAAGTCACATCGCGACACCTCGCAAACCGGCAAAAACGGATACATATATATTTTTTTTTTAATTGTCGACTAGGTTCCGAGGGATTTTTGTTGTCAGTTCTTGTGTAAACTCGAATTATTCCCCTGCACTAGGTTTTATCGTCTTGAATTTTTTATTTATTTTTTTTCTCGTGAGCGGCTTTTTTATTGGTCGTTCATTTGCCTCGATGTATACGACAGTTTTACATTTAAATTCATTTAGGGATTTGTTTTAGTTCTATCGGGGTGATAAAGCTGAGAGTAATCGTGGATTTTTTTTACGACTTTTGATGTCCACTTGAAAAAAATCTGAAGCGATGAGTACTTGAATAAATGTGATAATAAATATTATAAATAATTCATATTAAAGAACAATGAAGAGATGAACGAGTAGTAATTGTGATAATTTACAAAATCCTAGACAAAATCGGTAATTAATTACGAGGGGGGTATGTAACGGTGTGATTACACATAAAAGTAGTTTTAATACCAGTGCAGCTCAGGGGTGTAGTCGTCAGGATTGAGGGACGATGGGTCAACCCTTCTTTTTCTCCCTTCTCCCATATTCTCAAGCTCTCCGAGGCAACTTAAGTATAACGGTGTAACGTGGGTGTATCGTTTCCTCGTGATCGCTTAAGTATAGCCACTATGGTCTCAACTCCTCGCATGTTATATACGTGAAAGAAAAAAAAAAAAAAGGTATATAACGACGCGACCATGCGCGCCCAGGCGTGGAGGGTAGCTTCGGTAATCGTGCATTAATTTGCATCACAAAGTACACGCCACCCGCACCACCACCGATACGCACGCATTCCACGTACTTTTCCGCTTTTTTTGAGGATTTTTTTTTTTTTTTGCACCCTCCACCACCCCTCTCCCGAGGCCAATGGGGATGCCATTCGGAGGGATGTCAATCTGTCTCCTCTGATCTCAGGGGTTGGCGTGATCCAGGGGTTGCCGATTTTTTCTCAACGCGGGATGAAATCAATTCGATCAGAAAAATCGATCTTTCTGGGATATTTTTCTCGAAGGGGTGGGAATGAAGGGAGTAACAAATTTCGTCGTCCAGTGATTACTCACGCAATCGATCGGCATTTTTTCTCTCAGTCAATCATGACGAATCGTCACGGGGTTTATTACTAAATGCAGCTATTCCCACCGGCACGCGAATTTCGTATAAATTCACCAGTGATTTTCATAAATAAGATTTACCACTTTGATGTGGGTCAGGGTGTTAGGGGAAAATATATAACAAGGTAATTCGGTAATGGTAATTCAGGGGAGAATTGGTGGATAATAATTGGTATGATATGAGAATGATATTCAGTCGTATTTTCAGAATCGAATTTCGTCGAGTGATTTTAAAAAATTGAGAAATTCGACATAAAAATAAACGGTAAAATGCGATTACCACTGGGCAATGGTAGTCACGGTTCTGAATTTATTGTGTGTGTTGTAATACTTTGACCACGGGTTTTCGCTTATCTCGTTGCATATTTAAGGGTTGCCATGTCAAGCATCAAGCGCGCGCCCTTTGAATACATTTAAATTCATTATCTCACGTGAATATGCGGAGGGCTACCCTTCTAGGTATACTTACCTCGCTTCGAGTGGTAATCACTGACCCGAGTAAAAAAAAAACATGAAAAAAAAAAAGACCGGCGATCAAGTTCAATGTAGTCAGTAGTTAATTTCAAAAATAATCATGTCTCGATGCATCATTTATTTTTCAGATAATCGGAGAATCTCGGCGTAAGGATGCCACATACAGGTGAGATATATTTTATTTCTGCAATATCGCCAATTAATCTATCTCATTGATGAGAGAAAAAAAAACACTTGTTTCTCTCAAATTAAATCTTCCGAAATCACAGGCTAATGATCAGAAAAATATTCGGAGTTATCCACCCTATAATTAAACACCAATCAATAATGAGAGTTCTCTGGCTCCATAATCATCAAAATACATCAACCCATTTTTTAAATTCACATTGATGCTCGTGGTATTCTCGCCAGAAAGGAAATCATTAAATTGCGAAGAGAGGAAATGCAAGTTCCTGAGACCACACGTACCGTCGAAATACGTTTATAATACCCGTAATATTTATGATGAATGCAAGAAATTTATATTTTTACCGTGTAAGTAGTATGCGGGATGTTGAATAAAAAAATAAATAATCATGCTATTTTATATTTGGGATTAAAATCGAGTAATTAAGGAAAATAGGGGGAGGAAAAATAGAAGATGTTGAAAATTGAATGTTTAATTTAGTAGCGATGTTAGATGCACGGCAGGTGGGTGGGTTTAAGACTGCATTTGAGACTCCTAAATGGCAAGTGCGATAGCAATCAGTTGGCCTTCGCATTAGTTGGCTAATTCTAAAGCCAAGCATGATTATCCGCACTGTGCGTATCCGTTAGGTATCCTTATAGTCCATCACCGTCAGTTTATAGTTTAATGATGATCAACCCCTCAGGTCATTAGAGGCTTTCTGATGAGCTAACATCAAGTCCTTTCAAGTGCAATCTTCAAATTCGTTCGGGAAATTAGGAGGAAAAAGATCGATGCAGCATGAGAAACACCAGGAAGACGTTTTTTGAGTTTTTATGTTGATGGCATTGGGGAATATTATCTGATTGTCGTTGGAAGCACTGATCTTTCTTCGGATTGTTCAAATGTCATTTCCGTGATAATAATCCGTCGTCAGAATAATCGGAGGAAATATTTCGGACTCGAGTGGAATTCTTTCACATTTTTTTATGATTCAATGAAATTTTAATTTCTTGTAATTAAATCGTTTAATCAATTGAAAAATTCAGGGTGAACATTTTATTGAAGCAAAAATACAGGGAGATATTCGGGTTAATTGGGGAGTGTTGAGTGTTGAATTCTCATTGAATTAAAACTCACTCCTTACGTACACAAATTTGCGATAAATACATATCGCATTTTCTCAGATAATCCAGATTATTCTGCCACTCAAACGAACCGTCGCACCCAATCCAGTAATTGACTTAATGACGTAATTAACCAGTGGGTAATAATTAGCGATGATTCTGTATTCGTTCTTAACCACCACCACCGTTTCATCATTTTTCATTCGGTGTGCACACTGACGATTTGTACGTGAAGACGCGTGCAATGTCTCGATATCCAGAAGCCGCCTCTGTTCTTTTTACGTACTGCATTTACTTTTTATTTCTTTTCATTTCATTCGGGTGGAGTTTTACTGCCGTCGCCACACCGATTCGCTGGATTGAGTCGCGGCGGCTGTCACTGCGAGCTTTCAGGTCTTTTATTTATTTTTATCATATTTTTTAAATAAAAAAAAATATATCTCTCCGTTGAGAAGAAATCGTTTTAGATTACCGTAGGTAATTCTTATGCCATTTTAATTCTTATGCCGCTTGTCAAATGGCGGCCATTACGCATTGTGAAAGCTCATTCACATCAGATTATGCCTACGTTATTCACTCAATACTAATTAACTCGCAAAATCATACGGATGAGAGTGGGACATTTATAGATGCTGAATGATTACGTTATTAAGAAATCTGAGTTGCTACTGGGATACCCTGATCCATTTGAATAACTCATGTACACATTTCTCACGGGGTTGGTTATGAGTTAATGGAAATCTCTCATTCCTAATGTAACATCTCATTTTACGTTTTCACGTTATTTCATTTCCGTATTTATTAAAACATATTGTACTGTGGTGTCGGTTTGAATAACGAGATTATAAAATCAAGTGGCTGAACGAGTGACTGTCGTTATTCAAGAATTCATTTATTTCTCTGTGTGAAATTATTATTTTAAATCATTAGAGAATTCGTTGTACAACTCAAGACTCATAAAACATTCTCACCCACTCTCAAATTAATAATATCAATTAATATTTAAACATTTGTCGTCGGGGTTGAGGAGCCGATAAATTTTTTATGAATCATTCCGTTGAAACACCTGATTTATCTCTTGGCAATTCGATGCTAATTGCATTGCTCACTTATTGGAGTCATCGCAGCAGGTGAATGCTCACCACCTACCCCTCAAGCTGGTCCTTTTGTCGATGGAAAAATCACCTCATAAAGATGATCCCTCAAAAACAAAATACCAAATACAACTTGCACCGGGATGCAGTTTCGCAGGAAGCAATTTTGGTCTAGGGTTTCTGCCTGGATTACAAGTCCTGTCCAATGTTCGGCTCTGGAATAATTACATGCCTCTACCACTGTCCACGGGAGACACGCGATCACTCCTTTCGGGATCACTTATTTTTCCCTCCCTACTCTCAGTGGTTCTAGATCTTAGAAGCCGAATGTCATTAGAAATGAAACCACCTGCCCTATCGTTAATGTCTCTTCAAGATTGGTCATGATGATTTTTTTCCACTGGCCATTTCCATCGAACACCTTCAGCTACTCGTTGTCACATTACGTTAAATTTTCCCTGTGCGATAATTATCTAATTAATTGACATTTGATGATTTTTAGGTCAAGCTGGTGTGAACCAATTGGGTGGGGTATTTGTGAATGGACGACCATTACCAGACTGCGTTAGACAGAGAATTGTCCAGTTGGCTCTCGTTGGTGTTCGACCCTGTGACATATCACGCCAATTACTCGTCTCTCATGGATGTGTCTCCAAGATCTTGACGAGATTTTATGAGACTGGTAGCATAAGACCTGGAAGCATCGGCGGAAGTAAAACCAAGGTGAGATAAAAATGACTAACGAATGCAGAACAATTCTCTGGTACATGCAACCGGGTAACTGAGTAACGATATGTCTTGGGTGCATGTATTCCCTTGGGGGGGCTTCTGCCAACTGTACCTGGTGTATGTGGGGTAGAATAATGAACTCCAGGGGTAAAAAATTCAATGGGAAAAAGGTGGGATACTACCGCTGAAGAAACGGGTGGACATGGGCTGATGTGATTTTAAGTATGGCTCTCGGTTGTGTTTGAACGTGCTCGCAATTATCCAAACACCTTGCTCCAGGCATTTGCATAATTTCATGGCATTCGTGAGGATATTCACCACCTTCGCTCGTGCGAAGAATCTCAAAGTTTATTTCTTGAATTAATCGAGATTTTCAGACTCCGCACTCCGAATTTCCTCGTCAACAAATCCCACTGATTTCTGATAATTGATTAATTATTTCTTCCACCCATTGCCTCATTCTCTCATTAAACTCATTGATTGGTAATTATTACAGTAAAAATCCGGTGGTGAAAAAATTCTGTTTTTATCCCATTGAAAATGGAATTTTCCTGTGGAAAATTATCTATAACATTTGAAAATTATAAGACACGGTATTATAGTTTTGATATAATTAATGGAAAAATAGGAATTGGAGATATAGTGGTAATATAGTGGAAAGCCTATGGGAAGTCGTGAATGTTGTCCGAGAGGCGCTGGTTCTCGGGGATGAGGGATTCGCGATGTGCGTGATACGGTCCGGCCTCTCACACCGACCGGCATCTTTCTTTCATATACGTCATACCCTCAACCCAAATGGCTTGCAATATCGCCGACACAGTGACGTTAATGATAATATAATTATACGCCACGCGTATAACTATGTCTTTTTGCACTGGTTCTCCCCAACTGAAAGAGCAAAATAAAAAAAAATGCCCGAGGATGCGTCAGGTCGATCGCCCCCCCTTTTAATATTTCCCCTAATGAATTTATTTTAATCGTAACCAGTTCCTTGAACCCACTCATGTAATCAAGAAAATAAATTTTCTTTTTGCGGTGATTTTAGCGTCACCATTGGTCACGGTTATATGTGATTGATTTCCATCATAAAAAATCGAATGAACTCACGAGGAGTTCAGGAATAAATGAATGTTAAATATATTTAGTACCCTCGATATATGTCGACGGGTGAATGTTCGTTTTTTAAAATGCAAAAATCAATGTTTACGAATTACTGGTGAAACTGAAGGGAACGAGAAGGCGAATGTTTATGGATATGAACAAGCGCCTCGTAAAGAATAATTTATGATCTCATGCTTTTTCGTAACAATATTAATTGTTCGACTGTGGATACAAGCGAAACATTATGGCACTTTCATGCCAACAGTACTTTCGTTATTCAAACATTCGTTCGAACCGATTTCACTATCTGATAAGGCAGTTTACTTTTGCCGCTGTGAAGGTAGCATCCTCAAATATTGTCCGATAATTCATTGTAACATTAATTGCGGAATTATCGCGTGATCTACACGTGTTACATCTACGGTATTTCTTTGGTATTTTTTTTAATACTTTATTTTTACTTGATCTTTGTGGCGTTGGTAATGCATATGGGGATTCACATGGCGAATTACTCGGTACGCGGTACTCGTGAAATGAGCAAAAAGCACGACACATTGATCATTTCACTGGTAAAAATACAGTCGTTGGTGTATCGATCAGTGGGTGGAACTAGAGACTCAGCTTATTATTTTCTCACTGCATAAACTATTTTGTCATGTAAAATACTACGGGAAATCAATCGAGGGGACAAGGGGGCAAAAAATTCTCGAATTGTCAATGCGAGCACGAAGGTGTAATCAAGGGATTATCACATAATTATGATCTGGAGGAATGTCGGTTAAAATATCGGTTATGGTAAATGAAAACGGTTTTCTCTCTTCTAACTTTGAGAGAGGATTTTATATAGGTCATGTCCGATTAATATTGAATGATGCACCTGATTGATGTGACGTCCGGTGATTTTTTATCTCATTCTCACGATTATTACTGAATAAGTGGGACAATGTGGGACATTTTCATCATCAAGGATAATTTTTTCAGATTGCAAATTCGTTAAAAAAAAATATATGGTGGAGAAAAAATAACGAGAGGTCCGGAAATGAGAGACAAATTTTTTGAACAGTCAGTAATGACAAGCGCTATATCGTGGTGAGGGGTTGGAGGATAATTAGTGAGTTTAGTGAACCTGTTGGTAACCGTTTGGGGTTTATCCAACATTTATCCATACCAGATGTCAGCGCAATGTTGAGTGTCCAGGGTAATTTCCCTAGGACTGGGTATATAATCTAATGTTGTATGTCGGGTGCGTGTCCGGTTTGTCCCCCGATTGGATCGGTGAAGGATGTGGTTCACAGACGACGGGGCATTAGGACATCCATGTTTAACGTATATACCACAAACAGTTAAAGGGTGTGAGGGTACCTGAGGGGGAGGGAGATAGGGGGCTCGACAACGGGGGTAATTGTCGCCACGACGGAAGTGTCAGATTAGAATCTGAGATGCTCTCTGGGGTCGCACGCGATGTCAAACCCTCTCTGGAACCCCCGTGACACTAAATATTTTATATTAATGTGTGAACAGCATAAGGATGACCAAGTGGAGTACAAGGGCTGTATGATGGCGGTTTTTTTTTATCAAGCTGTTGGTTGTTTTCGTTAACCCTTCACCTTTCCACGATTTCCATTTATTTCATCGGTTTTTTTCCATCTCGAATGATCATTCGATCAGATTAAATCGAATGATTGAAAATGTTGAAGTGTTTTTCATGCAGGAAGAGACTTGGTGGATCAGTCTTTATTGGAATTATTGGAATTTAATTTATCTATCTGTTTACCTCTTTGCAATAAATCTTTTGGTGATCTGGATCGATGGATTTGCTCTCGAAAAATCCTGCCACTTCTTGGGCCAAATGATCTCGATCTTCGAGTTCCCCCAAAAAAATCAAAACTAAAATCACTGATGGGGTGTGTGCGTATACCATTTCCATTCCATTAGCATAAAATTATTCGGTCCGAGGTATTGGGGTTGAGCCACTTATTCATTAGCAATTCAAATGATATTTCGATACCGAGATTTGAGAACCTCTGAAGTGGGTAAAAAAAAAATGAAGAGTAGTCAATCCCAGGGTCTTGATGTCTGGGTCATAAGGTGTGAGTCGCAGATGACGGGAATTACCCAAAAATAATCCCCTTGGAGGTGGTATGTGTGGATATTTCTCAAGCCACCCTGGTGTCCACCAGGTTTATCTGATCAATTTTTCACCTGTGAACGGCATGTGTATTTTTGTCGTGCGATGAGATCGCTAATTATAGCGCTAATTCGGTGAGGGGCGCCGAAAGAGGACGAAGTGCTTGAGAAAAAATAAAAAAAAAACAGCTCCATAAGAACGGAAGGAAGTCGAAGAAAAGCTCTGGGGACCGTTTCAACCGGAAACAACCCGAAAATTAACACCAGGGCATTTCAACGACTCCGTCTTGATCTTTACCGATAATTACTTTTTTTTTTCTATCACCCTTCACACTTCACAGGCCCCTGCACTCTTGGAAAAAATGGAAATTTCATGCTCAGATTATTTAACAAGCCGATGATTATTTGAATCATCTTCCACGAGACACCAAAAATTTTCCCGGAAAAATACAAAAAATATAAAAAAATTGTAGCGGGAAAATATTTCGATATACCCACGACAAACACTTCATGTTCCCTTCATTTTTTTCGTTCATTTAGACTAACAACCGGGGATTACCGTTGCAGCAAGTGGCAACGCCGACGGTGGTGAAGAAGATCCTGAGGATGAAACAGGAGCAACCGACAATGTTCGCCTGGGAAATAAGAGAGCAATTGGCTAGACAGGGTGCATGTGATCCACAGAGTCTACCTTCTGTATCGTCGGTCAATAGAATACTGAGAGGTGGTGGATTGCATTCAGATCATCCAGGAATTGATGCTGGATCATCCAGCGGATATCAGCCCCACGTGCCATCAAGTCCGGAGACCAGAGGTAATTTTTCATTACAATTACAATTTTTTATCCATTACCGCATCGTTACCGCAAGCGCTAAAATAAAATATTAATATTATATTAGATTTGTGGATCTGCGGCACCTGTAATTTTTCAAATATTCCCATCATCTCGATTTACTCAACTCATTATTAAATGTTTAATTAATAATTAATGGAAAATATTGCACATGTGATAAGTTTGTTTGTAAACCTTGAAATTCATATATGGAACACTCGTGTAATTATTTACACGAATGTAATATTTACCTCGTGCATCGATTCACCGCACATTCGCGGAATTACCAGATATCGCGTGATGTTAAAAAAAAAAATCTTGTTTCCCCTTTCGGGGTTAAAATTGGTTGAGATACAACCTCACGCATATAAACACATCTGAATAACATATGGCTGGAGTAATGTTCATTAGTCCCCGGGATGAGAAGATTTTTCGACCGCAAGATAATTCTCAGCACGAAAGCCGGGAACTCATAATTTTTGTTTACAATCGAAAGGCAAATTTAACACCGCCCTTCATTCATTTTTATCACACGTATTTGCAACGCTCTTGTGTATGGGCCTTCTCCGAAGATTTTTTTTTATTGCATCAAGGGCGAATTGTTGGGAGTGATTGGAAGCCCTGGAGAATTGAGATACTCACGAAAATCGTGATTGATCTCCTTTCGCTTATCGACCTTTGCGCGATAATTCCTCGACTTCTGCTTTCGAAAGGGTATTTTTGAAAATTGGTATAATGATCCCTCAAGGATGGCATAAAATAATTTTATGCTTTCAATTTTCGTCGACCGGAGCGGATTCAAATTAAACTGACTCTTTAAAAAATTCAGAATAATCAAGGATTTTAATAATTTTTCAATCCGGTACCTATTATTATTCTATTATTGTTCTCAATTTCTTAAACACCGATTATTCTTCAATTTGAGTGACGAAGAGAGACGAAGATGTCAAGCGAATCCTATGGAAATATTTCTAGTGATGATAAGGAATTATCGTCAGACAAATGAATATGACAAATGATAACGCGATGGAATTAACTCACCCACCGACAATGTGTCATTTTCAGAAGCCCTGATGAGAACGGATTATCAATTATTTTACCCCAGCTCCCTGGGTCCCCTTCACATCTCAACGAGTGGATCAACTGGAAATCCAAATGCACCAACGTGGAATCCTGGATTTTACTCATCCCTTTATCAAGCAACAACACTGCATCTGCATCACGGAATGCAGACATTCACGTGAGTATCCTAATAAATGTCCACTTTATACCCCATCATTCCCTTAATACACGCCTCAACAATTTCATCGGTAGATCCATTAACTGTAATATTTACTGTGCAGTACCCTAGAGCAAGATAGATTGACGGAGCAGCAGACTGGACAGAGTCAGGTTGAACTTAAATCAAGTTCAAGCTCAATGACCGGAAGTGATGACTCCCTCGATAAAAGTGATCTAGATGATAACGCTGATTCCCAGGAAAATTACAAATCTTTTCAAAATTCACCGATAATTCTAGAGTTGGGTCAGAAAATAGGAAGCGATCGGAGCGCATTCGTTCGCCATGGAACGCCCAATTCGTCAAATAATTTTGAAATATCCCGGACTAGTCCCTCGTCGCCAACTGGAGATGACCTCGTACCCCAGAGTGCGAGAACTAGTAATGAAAATTCAAATGATATCAGTACAGAACAGCTGTCCTCCAACAACAGACCTCAACCCCAGAAAAAACGAAATCCTTACTCCATAGAAGAATTATTAAAAAAAGACGAACGTGGAGTTAATTGTAAACGACCGAGAGTAATTGCTACAGGTATCGTCCAGCCATGTGGCATAATTGTTGGCAAAGATGGTTAGAATGCAGTAGAAAAATAAAAAATGATAAAAAAATGTAAATGAAAAGTAGTTTAATTATTGAAATAACGTAGATGAAATTGCCATTGAATGAAATAAATTTGAGAGGGATTCGGCAATTGGAAATAAATCACCGAAAAATTATTGTACATATTGGAATATACAGTAGATAATCAATCGCGGGAGGTCCTGTATTCAGAAATATAAATATCAAGAGATGAATGATTTAAAAAATAATTTCAACGCGTAACGGATATTTGGAGGACGTTAAACATTTTCGTATGACAAGTGTCATAAAGTCATAAAGGCAGTGATCATACACTGTGTCTTACGATTCATCGAATACACGTGTGAATGAGTTAAGCTACAACGACAGAGGGTACGAGAATATTTATTTGCCAGGATAAAAAAATATTGGCGAGATAAGACGGGGTGAGGGAATCTGGTTTTTACAGCGTTGTAAACATTTTTATCTCTCTCAGTGATGATCACCAGCCAATTAATGCACCATAAAGTGTAAACACTTGTGGTTTAATATCGTGCGCGCCATAATCCCACGTGAGATGCACATTAGTGCACTACAGCTCAACATATTCCATTTGACGAATAAAGAATACAACAGCATTGAAATGAGGATGAATTTAGGTGGCAATTAAACACTGTATTTATTCTAGATATTAAAAGAATAACGCTAATTTAATTAAAATGATAATGGTACTGGGCCTTTGATAGCCGTAACGCTGTTCAATGAAAATAATGATAAAATGAATTTTCACGGTGTCATAGAACCGTAGGTGATGCTTGAGGGTATAATAACTTGGACAACTTTTACGATGGTTTTTAGTATCATGGTCATAAGAATATTTATATCTCTCTTGCTCATGCAGCGGTTCACGGTTATTTTAAGAATTGTGAGGAAGAATTGCGAAAAAAAAAAAGTATTATACATGTGTAAGAAAACATCAAAGGCGCAGAATTGACCGTTAGGTTAAGAATTTAATTGATAATAATCGTTCTGCCGACAGATTAAGGATATCGTTGGTTGCAGATGCGATCTTCCCTCTGTTTAAAATTTCAACAGCCGCGGGTTTTTCAGTCGTTTCTATTTCAATCAGTCGATTTTTTTTCAATTATCGACTCTTGATCATTGATTAATTTATATTGACAGCAGCGATCGCTTTACTGACAATGTGAATGCCGGAAAAAATCGAGGACCTCTTTAATTCTTCTGTGATTAAACGTTGAAGAAGATCGAACGAAAATTTAGAGATCAATTCGGTGGAATTTTAATTTAATGAAAGTTTTATGAGGGGATAAGAGAATAATTGAGGAGTCAGTCCATTTTTTAAAATTCTATTTTAATTGGTAGATCGCATCTGGAATGTCAAGCCAATCGGAGTTTTAGGACAGGATCCCAGAAGATGTGAGGAGTTACCAGATGTCTCCCGCCATTTTATCGACCGCCTTTATAAGAATTAAAATGGCGGAAAATATCGTAACTCAATTAAATTGTATTACGATTGATTTTCAGCGCTAAAATTATCTAGGGATCTAGTTTTAATTGAGAAGATACTCAAGTTATAGTTTTCGTAGGTAATTCGTGGTGCATTATAAATTTCATTGTATAATATATTAAAGTAGGGATTGCAGAGAATTAAAAAAATATTGTAATTCAGATTATCATGTATCATAAATATTAAAAACTAGTCAAAATGATTTTCTAGATTTATTGAGCACCCACAACATTTTTTTGGCTGGCGAATGAAGAGGAATCATAAATTTCATGATTGTTATGGATCTAGTCTCACTTATTTCAGAAGAGAAGAGCTTCTTACGCAATGAAGAAGTGAAGACACTGGTAAAATTTTCCCAAGAGTCACCTGTCAGTCCATTCCAGAGATAATCCACTATCATTAAATCATACTATTCAAATAACAGCCTTCTTGCCTCATTTCTCTCCTCCATTTTCACACAGCTCCAAGTAAAAGAGTCGAAGCTTTCTTGAAAATTAACGGTTTATTATATTTTCTCTCACATCTCCATTATAGACATTGAAATTCTTGAAAATCACATGCATAAAGTCACTCAAAACGCCATCATGTAAAATACAAAAAAAACATTTAATATAAACGATTAAAATTAACGACATGATTCCATCCGCATTCGAGACAAATAAGGGAATGTAAAAAAATATTTAACAATCACTCGTTCGGGCTCATTCATTCACTTCGACTGGTTGAGTATTAACCGATAATGAAAGATGGAGAATATTATTTATTTGTCAGATACGAAACGGGTACTATCCTCCACCCTGTCTTACGAGGCTACTCTTCGATTCTCAATAGGTAACATGAATGGTTATTACGGAAAAAAATCACTCGTAATCAATGAAAATATTATAGTTGAAAGTTACGCTGCGAGTGGAGTGTATTCGTTGACAGTGTGTGAACTGGATGTGATCCTGCAGTGTATAAGCTGTGATGTGAATGGGATTTTGCTCGGGAAAGTTCACTGTAGCGATCTTGGTCAGGTGGTGCTACCAGGAGAACTGGTCTCAAGGACAATGACTTTCTCGATCCAGCGACACTCTGCGCTTCATTGACGTATCCTGGATTTACTTCACCTGTCAGGAGGAAATATTATTCTATTTTTATGAATTTCGATGAACGGTTTCTCCCATTCAATTTTAAAGCTGGAGTACTTTCTAGTCAATGAACCATCAAGACGATGCGGACAATGATTTCCACTTTGAAGTGAATCTTTTGGAGTGAGAGATCATGATTGTGATTAACTTTAAAAATAATTCATTACCCTTGTACAAGGATCCGTTGTTGAAGGGCTCAGGTTGAAGCCTGACATGTCTAGATGCCAATATGAAAGCAAGTGCTGCAAGGGTGACGGCATCAAGAGCTGCAATAGCAGCCAGAGGTATAGCCCACCTGATGGCGCAAGCCCCTGGATTGTACCTGCAATTAATTAATCAAATCCACCGCGAGTTGTTCATTAAAAAAATTCACGGGGTAATCAACTGAGATGAAATTTGCACAAAACTGGAATTGCATTAAAATAGCTTCCTACCGGGATGCCGAGGCACCGCAGACAGCTCTGACGATCGTTGAATCCCAACCGAGAGGATACACACCGACTCCAACTCCCATGCAAACGGCTGAAATTCAAATGAGAAATAAAATGTACGAAAAGATTAACGAAAAAAAAAAAGAAATGAATTGCACAATTTTATGATCATCAGGAAGTGCGCAAATGGCATTAAAAAAAAATCTCATCCATAAACCATCGATGTAATTGCAGTCATGGGAGCAGTCTAGTACAGTTTCACACGATTGCAAAAGAATGTAAAAATAAATAATGTTTTTCCCAGCTGGCATTTAGGTGCATCGATGGCAAGAGGAAAAAAAAAATGGAAAGGAGGCGAGGTCGAACAGTGAAAGGGAACCAGGAAAATAAATCCCATCGGCATCTCTCTGTCCTCATGGTTAACTGTAGTTTGTCTGTACAATACTGTAATCCAACTGAACACGTATGTGACCTGAGACATGTATGTGAGAGCGGATAACGGACATCAAATGGATTTTCTTTTTTTTTTTAAAGTGTGCGGTGGCGTGGCACGCGGAAAACTTTGACCGCGATCCTCTTCGCAATTCCAATAATTTTTTTCTTCCTCACGAATTATCGAAATCGAGCATTTGTTAACCCATCCAACATGATAATAAGAAGTGAATGGATTTTATGTTCGAATAAGATTCGCTTTCACTGTTTTCAATGGTCCTCGACGATCAGGATATCCTCCGTGAATAATTTATAAAAGAACGAGTCGATCTCGCGAATTTTTCCGCGCTATCATACGTTCTTCGAAAGTTCTTCAATAAATTCATGGAATACACTGATAAAATAATTCATAGCCGATTTTTATATAAATAAATTAGCAGTTGATACACGACGGATGCAGAATCCTGCGGTAATTAAAAAAAAAAAATTCAAATGGCGGACAAATCAAATTTACATCGACCAGGAAATGCAACGAGTGCATAATTTCAGTTACGCCTGGCTAGAGTAAATGTAAGAATCATTTTTTCGGTCTAATGGATGCACTTATGCGGCACATCCACTCCACGCCAAGCGAAAGGAAAACCAACAATACATAATAACAACAATAAAACCGATGATGAACAGCCGTGATAAATTCCGGAATTGCATCACTAATTTCCCATCAGATTAACACGGATATTTATATTTTTCCATTTTCGCATTTTGCGAAGTAATCGCGCGGGGATAATGAGAGGAATTGAGACGACGATTTTCTAGTATTTAAATCCCTGGTGAGACTATCGAAGGCAAGAAATTCCGATTGATTCGGATTAATTGATTGATCTGTCTAAAATATCTCACCGGACAGGACTTGCATCCATCCACAAATGTAAAATACAGTTGTGCTTTGGCAGAAGAAGAATAAAAGCATGGCAAAAATTGAAAGAAGTGCAACTATGACAGAAACACCGACGAGAATGGTGCTAGCTCTGAATGGCACATTTGAAATTGTTGACAGATCGTCGAGTCTTCCAATGCACTCTTCTCCCAGTTCTCCTGTAAGTTAAATATTTAATTATTCAATTGACACAATCAATACATTAATTAATTTATTAATTAGACACATCAATCAGGACAGAGAAAACACGATATTACCATTAGCTCCATAACTGCAGCGTGACCACAATCCAAATCTCCCCGGATTCTCGTGCTCCAGATCTCCAATCCACTCTGGCGTGACAAAAGCAACAACACCGATAATCGCATAACATATCGTAAATATTCCCCACAGTACACCAATTGCCTTTGAATTGCGAATGTAATTCGTTGCGTACATGTGCGATGATTCTACATATTCGATTTTAGAACCCATTGTGATTTATAATCCTGCAATGATAAAAATTTTATTGCTATTTATTGAAAATAATTATCTAGATCGAGTGTCATGGGAGATTACACCCAAGCGACAATGAATTTTTACTCTTCACACTCCGCTGACTGGATAATTTATTTAATCCATTTTATCGCGATTCCATATTAATTCTCCACGGCCATTTACACCTCCAATTATTATTTAACAATTGATGCAATTACAATGGCATCTTTAATAATCGCACTGACAGCTGAGTAACAGAAATAATTACCTGCGTTTCGAATTCTGTGCGGACGGTTTTTTACGTGGATTTTTTATAAATTATTGATGATCAGGGTGAATCAAAATTTCCTCGATGTGCCTCCATTATCCATTGAAAAAAAAAAAACAAGTATTGAAGTCACTGGAGTAATAATCCCCGAATTTGAATATCGAGTGGGAAATGCGATGATTTCACTGATTTAATTATCAAAGTCAATCACTCTTGATTAACACGTTAGAATCGATTGGAGAAACTGGAGAAAATTGAAAGAAGTGAACAATATGTTGTTAACAGTGGAGTATTCTGTCAATGTTGATCAGAATAATAATGCACGTGTCCGTTGGACTGAAATGATGCACCACAGGGAAATGCAGAGGCGAATTGTCAGGTCGTATTACCAGTCTTATTTCGTTCCCCGGAATTGTATATCTAAAATAATACACTGTGTCTTATAAAGAGGACAAACACTTGAGAAACTACAGCACGATTTTATTCAAAATGGCTGAAGCCAGGTGAGAGACAGGAGATTGCTGGCAGACCAGGTAAGAAACCCAAGAAAACGGTGAAAAGGTGGGGGCCCACCTGAATGGGGCCTTCCAGGGGTCCCTCAGAGTTCATTTTCCGTGGTGGGGATAAAACCTGATAAATTATTTCTCTCGAGGTGGGAGTTGGCAGTACGCGGGCAAACCTTCGCTTTTTTTTTTCATTAATATGGATTTGCCATTTAGTTTTACAAGGGGATTCTATTATTTTACGACGAGAAAAAGAATAATTATTCAAGTATTTATTTCCCTGCCGAGATTATCTCGGGGATATTATACTGGGATTTTAAAAATGATAATTTCACGTGGTACAGTAAAAAATCGAAACTCTCGGTTGAATAAGAAATTGCGCTTTCTTTTCTCCATATTTTTTCCAACAGTCGTTCCAGTGTTTTATTATGAATTTCCATTAATTCGAGTAATGGTCGTTATAAATTTTTCATGGATAATTAATAAAAAATATTGGGTTTTGACGGATGTCGATGCTCTGGCATATTTTGAAATATTTCCCGGTTACGGTAATATCTATTCGTAAAGTTATGGGAAATTAAATTTTGGATAAAATTGAGGTCGTACAGATGACGTTATCGTCGACGTCCACCTCCGTTGATATGTTAGGAATCTGTAATGTACTGTACGATATGGAGAGCCACTCTATTTAGTTTATTTTCTTCATGTACTCTGTGATTACACACATCACTAAACAGCTGGGCTATCGTGGGCTGTCCTTATAGGTGCCACGCGTCATTCCACTAATTTTCAACATTTTTACCGGAGCAAATTGTTTAAACGATTGCAAAAATGTCAGTTATTGCTGTGGTTCAAAAATTCTGGCAAGAGTATGGAAAAAATACGGCTAAGAAGCTGAAAATCATCGATGCGTACCTCCTCTACATCTTCCTCACCGGTGTTATACAGTTTGTCTATTGTTGCTTGGTTGGAACATTTCCCTTCAACAGTTTTCTCAGTGGATTCATATCCGCTGTCTCCTGTTTTGTTCTCGCAGGTAAATATATTTAATACTGCCTCCAATGTATCGAATTTCTATCGTAGTGAACACCAAGATTGAAGCAATATTTATGACACTCGTCAATTTAATCAGTGGTAGAAAAAAAATTGGGGAAATTGAAAATTAATTGATTATTGTTTGTTTCAGTTTGCTTGAGATTGCAAGTCAATCCGCAGAACAAGAATCACTTCTGTGGTATCAGTCCTGAACGCGGATTTGCCGATTTCATTTTTGCACATATTATTCTACACTTAGTTGTGATGAATTTCATCGGTTAATGAGGCACGATGTAAGATAAACATGCTCTATCAATTCTCTCAACTCATTTTTGATATTTAAATAAAGTTATTTGCCCAGAGAATTTACATTACTAAAAGTTTCAATTTATTTGAGTGCAAAAAATTTATTTGTTCGTAAATTAATGAACATTATGCAGCCTTTATTTACCCCCACGTATCCCCCAAGAAAAGAGAATGTAGGGAGATAGATAGGAAGGAAACCACAAAGAATGGAGGCTATCTCAATTTTTTTTATATTTACAATGATATCCCCAGGGCAGAATTCACCCCAAATAAGAAATACAATCGCAAATAAATGTTAACATTATCCTTTGACTGCTGTTTTATTTATTAAATTCACAGTGAACAGAGCACTTCCTCACTCTTTATTTTAACCAGTCATTTGCGTTTTACATGTTTTATATGTTGGCTCATTAAACTCATAGAACAAATCGTTAAAAACTGAACGAATTAAAGAAAAAAAATATATTAAACTTTTCAACGCGAAAATAATTTTAAAAAATGGGAAAAATTGGAGGGAAAACTGCTGAACTATCTCCAGGAGAATAAACGTATCTGTAAGTATGACACACGCTATAGTGACCGTGAAAAATGCTAAGATAAACACACGCCTCATTGTCATACACAACATAATGTTCACACAATTTTTAATCTTATACCCTTGTGGTCACTTTATAATCCTAAGAAATAAATATTTTCAACTAATACTACAATTAAAATTACTCGAAATGTTTGTCACTGAACAAAAAAAAAAGAGTAATCTACTTTGATATCAATTTCGTCGAGTTTGTGCTAGTTATTGACCAACTTGATGGGAAAAAAAAGGAGAGGCAGAAATTGAATGGCTGAGCACATTTTGCATTAAACCGATAACTACATTTTTCACTGCACATTCGTGATAATGCAGTTCAAAGTAATTACTCCAAGTCAGTCATCCAAAATAACAAATGTAATCGCGAGTCGATAACTAGCACAGATCACCCAACGTTCTTAGTATAATTCAAATATTAGTTCACTCATTTCTTTCCTTCAATAATTCACGAGTACTCATACCTCTCACAATGATAATGTCTCGATACAAGTTCACTCGTTATTGAAAAATAATTACCATCAAAGACAAAATTATATTCAACACTCGCATAGCAGATGAGTCCCCTTGTTTGTTTTTAGTTTCTCATCCCTTCTTTTTATTTTTTTTTAAACAGTTTAATTTAATGTGCATTGACGTGTATGCAAACTTGGATTATATCACATGAAGCAATCTAGGAAAAAGCTGAAAGCCCCAGCAGACGTTAAAAATGTCGCACGTGGCATTTTGAGCTTTCGCATTTTTCACTAAAATCAATATCAAACCATTAGATTGGGTAATACTTAGTTCTTTCATTTATAAGAAATTCCAGTTTTCTATATCATCCGTGAACATCGCCCATTTTTTATAAAATCCACAAGTGGATGTTGCAAACTCATTTTTATTTTCGCCTAAACACTGTCAAAATTTTTTCAACCGGACTTAAAGTACAGTCGCCTGTATACATACCCTAATTCTTCCTCAAAATTCCAGTGAAAGATTTAAAGAAAAATTACCTGTTAGCAGTATTCTCAGCTGTTTTGAAGACTAGCGAAAAATTTACTTGGCAAATGAATAATTAACGCGTAAATATAGATAGTAAGATCAAGATAAATATAAGATATAGTATTTCAAGTGAATGATAGAGATGATTACAATTAAAAACACCGACTTTTATCTACCAACACTCCTATCGTGTAAGGACATTCCCCTCTTCAGATGTAAGAGGTTCATTCATTGGATCTTGGCACATGATAATGGAACGGTTTTATTATGTATGAAAACTATTTGAACTAAGTGTAATCTAGCACAAAAAAAAACATTTTTTTTCGTGCAATTATGCAAATTGCCAGTCGGTGTTATTGTCAAATCGGACATAGGAATTTAATTTTATGATCTGAGCTTTTGAGAAGCGTATCAAACATTTGAAATCATTGAATTTCTAATTTGATTGTTAATCCAGTGTCTCTCCACGGGATTGGATTCCCTCGTTTGGACATATATGGATTTAAAATCTTTACTTATGCTGAACAACTCATTCTTATTCACTTTTTTTTTCTCGTTAAAAAGAAAATCGTATATTCTAGCAGTCCGTGTGGACTTCGCACTGGTTTTAAACATTTCAAATTTGCTTTTAAGTATAACATTGCGCAAAAACACAGCCGCCTTTGCCTTCATCCTTATCGACGAATAATATTCTGACTTTACCGTGAATCTGTTCATGATCTCATCGTCGATACACCAGTGACATGATTCTCATGACTTCGGTCAGTAAAATTTGATGACCACTAGTGTGAACATTTGAATTCAGATATGCTCGATGACTCAACGACACGCACGTCAGATTAATCTTTACAGATCCACTTCTCTTCGATTTCTCTCTAGTCCTGATAATGATGTAATTGAGAAAGGGGACCAAAACAAAAAAAAATAAACAAACATCACTCGTCAAAGAAAAACAACATGCAGCTCTGAATAATCTCACTCATTCAACTAATTTTATCTTCTTCAAAATACCTGCAGAGACCATTCAGTCGACGAAAAAGTTGTTAAGCTTATGTTCAAAATAGTCAGTGATTTTTTTATGTTTAGCTTGAGTAAAATATTTGCCCAGAGGGTCTTTAAGACCTCAAATCGTGAGCGTTTGATGTTTTTCTCTCAATCTCAGATTTTCTCTGTTTCTCAACGTACTTTCGTCGCGCTGTCATTAGCATGTGCTCCTTACGACGCTGTAGAATACGTTCACGTTCCGTCGAACATTTTGAGAAACGACCACCAATCGGTGATGATTCATCACTGTTGTCAGCAACTGGTATGTCAATTTTTGGATCCCAAGGTTTTTGAGGCAATGAAGTGGGCAATATGTGATTTGTCACCTGTGGAGTTGATGTGACTTGTTCAGTTTCCAATTCACCCAAAACATGATGAGGTAACAACAAGCGTCCGTCTAAAATATTCTCTACAGTCAATTCAACGGATCTCGTCACTCTCAAATCTTCCAGTACCACATTCCTCGGATAGTGTGGGAACAACTGTTGTACCTAAACAAAGACCATCAATTTCGTAAAAATAAAAATATCAGTCTTCCTCGTGGCTTAAAAATAAGTTGCATAAAAATCAACCAAAACTCACGTGTCTTGCCATAGCATCCAATTGAGAATTGCTATGTGCCAGAGTTAATATATCACCCCGCAGCCTATTATGTGTAACTTCCACTGAAAAACTCGGTAACCAAGAGACATATCTCGATCCATCGAAATGAAAGAAATGATTATCATTTCTGCCAACAGACGTCTGTGACTCTGGCAACTCTGGTCTTAACTCAGTTGCATTGTCACGACGATTGGCTTGCATGCTTAAAACTAGTCTGCAAGTTGGGCATGAGGTATCCTGCTCGAGCCATGATTGCAAACAAGAATTATGAAACAAATGGCTACAGGGTAATTTTCTTGCTGATTCCATTTTTTCCCAGCATATTGCACAGTTGTCTGAGTTCTCAGCCAACTCTTCGGGCTCTGCCATTGGGTAACTGCAAATTAAAAATGCGAAAATCCTTTTTTTTTTTCAACACCACTTCATTATTTCTGTGTGAAAATGTCAAAAACAACTTGTCAAATTGATATTCATTCTACAATCTAATTGAATTTGACTATAAACTAAGTGAATGTAATCCAAAGTCACAGCCTTGGAAATGCCCAAGTGAACGGTAATTCCATCTCAATAAACTTCTAACAATTAATTTACACTCACTTTTGTTCCATGTGACTCAATACCGCTAGATAATTCCTGTGTTTCGTAATTCTCCGCTGAATTTCGTGGAACAGGTACCTCAATTGCATGCATATCACCAGAGATGCCATACTCAGTAGAATATTACTCCAGAGTAGCATGTGTATATGATGAAGAAAGTCAACAGCAAGTACCGTCAATTCGCACAGTAATTCGGTATAATAGGCAAGAGGTCCCCTTTTTTCTGATGAACGAGGCGATGATCTCGTGTCATAAAGGTGTATGGCATATCTCAGAATCACATGAATTGTTCTAACTGCCAGCAATATGCACTGGAACAATTATAATTTCATTAAAGTGAAAATTCCACATAAACCCGTATGACTCTCTCGAGATTTAATATACCGGAGAATGAGACTGACGCCAAGGTGCTGTATTACGTCATTAATCTGGCATACAATTATATTCTTTAATCAAGCACCTACGTAAATCCGCGAATTGTGAAATCAGCTAATGATAACTTTCTAGAGTCGTGTCGGAGGTAGTGAGTATTAAATTCAATCAGCAATGGAGTAAGAAAAGTTTGTACGTGGGGGGGTGTTTGTGGATGAGAGAGAGAGGAGTCATGATACTGAGTATGAGACATCGGCTATTGACCCAGACCTTCCTCGGGAGCGGAGCTAACTGTTCCTCAAAGGCCATTCGCCCAGTTTTGCAAGGTAAATCCCCAATCGGGGGATTTTCAATTATGACTGTCTCCGGTCTTTATTCATTCCATTTGATGAATGACAGTTGTCAATAAATTTAGCTATGTGAAGTTGGCATCGAAGTTTGAAAAATCTAACTTTTTTTTGTTGGTTTGGATTGTACTCATTGAGTACTTGAATGTACCCTGTGCACTTTTTTTTGTACCCTCTTACTTTAGCCCTGAAGCAGGGGG